AGCTCCGCAGCCGGGACCGGGCGGCGGGGGGCGGGAGCCCCGAGAGCAGTGGCCGTCCGCCTGGGGCTCGGCACAGACTGCGAGCGCTCGGCCCGGCGCGGCTCAAGTCGCTGTCGGCGCGACTTCCCACTTGCACGTGACGCAGAGCAGCGGGCCGTCCTGGCAACAGCGAAACATTTGAGGAACCGGTGCAGAAGCTCCTCTTGGCAGCCCCGGCTCGCGGTTACGAAAGCCGGGCTTGGATGGCGCAACCGCCCGGCGCTCGGGGCCACGGGAGGGGGTGATTTCCTGCAGCCACAACACACCTGAGCGGGGATCGCCAGGGGCCCCCCCACCGGGGCCCCTCCCCCAGGTTGTGACCCTGAGCGAAGGGGAATTAGCGCCCCCCCCCCCGCCCCGCCGCCGCCCCCGGGTTTGGGTTTTGCTTTCTAGAACACGATTATGGAAGAGGCTAAGTGCCTCTGGCTGTTAAACTAGAGGGCAGGGCGAGCCCCCCGGTTGCTTACAGGAATCAACCCAGGAGTCCGGAAAGACACCGGTGTTTGCGTCGCCCCCAGAGGCTGTGATTTAATTGGTCTGAGGGAAGGAAGACAGGCATCCGAAACCTCTCGGAGGAAAAAGTTTCCTCTCGCCTTCCAGCAGCCCTTTGAAGGCTGCTGCAGAGGCCGCCAAACAGTGTGCGCTTTGGAGTCTGGAGCAGAGAAACATGGGTTACCGTCCTCAAGATTACAGTTCCGAATCCGGGCGTCTCAGTGTTCTCCCCTGTTGTTGATTTTTTTGTTTGTTTGTTTGTTTGTTTTGTTTTTTTGATTGTGGGTCGGGGGTTTGGGTTAATTTGTTTTGTTGTTTTTTTGTTTTGGTTTGTTTTTAAGCCCATGAAAATAGAGGGGTTTTGTTCGTTTTTGTTTGAAAGCCCATGATGAAGATTCCTGGAGACACCTAAGTACCTGGACCCCAAGTGCTCAATGGGCCTTGGCTACCCTCGTGACTTGACTGGACACAAAGGAACTAGCATTTGGTGTTTACCAGGACCCGCCAAGGTTCCCCACAGAGCTTGAAGCTACGAGGCAGCTTCACATGCAAATGCGGAGGGAAAGAAAAACACTGAAAATAAAAATTAGACTAGACGAGAGGCCCCTGGACCTGCACCTGCGTGTTATAATGTGCTCTTCCACTTTGGGCTTCAGACTGGTTAGAGTCCATGGAGTAACTGGAATGGGTGTCTCCTGGCTGAACCCCTAAATAAGACATGAGCTGGCAGAGCAACATCCAACATGCAGGCCTCAGACTTATGCATCCAGCACTGTGTGGACCACTCTCAAGCAATGGCAGAACCAAATTCGTGCCCAGTATTTTCTACAGAGAAAATATTTTACTGTTTAAAATAACCCTGGACTTTTGAATTATGACCTGTTTTTATGTTCAAGCTATCTGCATATTATTTCTCCTGCAGTTGTACATAAAATGTTTTTACATTTAAAAAAAAAAGGACAAATACTGTAGAACTGTATTACATGAAATAAATAGAATATACAAATTTATAGAGACAGAAAGATTAGGCGTTTTCTCAAGATGGAAAAGAAAGGAATATAGAGCAATGATTTCCTAAGAATCTCTGTTTTGTGGAAAAGTCCCACAAATGGACAGTAGTATCAGGACATAATATCATGAATGTAATAAATCAATACCACAAATGTAAGTAATATCATGAGTGTAATTAATAAATATCATGAGTGTAATTTAAATTAATTAAATAAATAAATAAACACATTTGTGCCCAGGACAATGGGACTGGTTTGGATGGCACTTACTTCAGTCACGCCCCCCTCTCCCTGTGGTGGTGCAGGTATTTGGGAAGCAGAGGCAGGTGGATCTCTGTGAGTTTGAGGCCAGCCTGGTCTACATAGTAAATGCCAGAGCAGCTGGTCTACACAGAGAGACCCTGTCTTTAAAAAAAAAAAAAAATAGAAATGGGGTTGCAGGTGGGCGGTGGTGGCACACACTTGTCTGTGATCCCAGCACTCTGGAGGCTGAAACAGGAAGATCCAGAGTTCGAGGCCAGCATAGTGAAACTTGCCCTAGCTCAAAAATAAAATCCATTTCCAGCAGGCTCCATTGTGGTGGCCCCTTCCTTTCTGTGGTCCATGGAGACCTGAAAATACTTGCTGGCCTGAAACAGGAAGGCCGCAGAAGGCTGCCAGCTCAGATAGGAAGGTTTAAATAAGGAATGCCGAAGGCAGAGCAGGCATCTCAGGAATGGACTGGCATCTGTGCCCGAGTGGCTTCCCCCTGTTTTGATCCTGAGAAGGGGTAGGGAGTGTGTGGAGGGAGCTGTGTTCTACAGTGAGGCAGGTCTAGTCACCATCCCAGGTCTGCTGCTTGCTGGGTTTGGGATTTGGGCAACTTATTAATCTCTTTGAGCCTTATTTACTGATTTGTAAAGTAATATTTTACAATATACAAACTATTAGTGTTGTGTTTCAAGGCCAGGCACGATGGCTCCTGCCTTTAATCCCAGCACTCGGGAGGCAGAGCCAGGCGGATCTCTGTGAGTTCGAGGCCAGCCTGGTCTACAGAGTGAGATCCAGGACAGCCTCCAAAACAACACAGAGAAACCCTGTCTCGAAAAACACCAAGCATAGCTGTGTATACCCAATATCCAGGAGGGAGGGAGAGGATTTCACCAAGTTTGAGGCCAACTTGATCTACATAAGCAAGTAAAAAGGAAAAAAAAAAAAAAAGAGCCAAGCCTGGACTTGGCTATCTTCTCCAGAAAATTAAATGGTCTCTTCCCTAGACTCCTAGAAAGCTGCCGTCCACAGGGTAAACTAGGTATCCGGTCCCTATGCGCCTCCCAAACCCCGTGTGACTTTGTTTACCACCCTGCCTTCCCTGCCAACTTGAAGAACTCATCTCTGCCTCCTTTCCCTGAGCAGCGCCCAACACAGACTGGAGATCTTTGTCTTAGGTAAGAAAAGGGATGCCTCGGGGCTCTGAGCAGATCTCACCTCCTCCCGGGCTGCCTGAACTCCACACTTAGTGCAAGTTCGGTTTGTGAGCCAACATTCCAGGTTGTTATGACAAACCCTGATAAGAGGGGAAGAAAACATATCTGTGCATGTCAGCCTTGCTGACAACCCCCCACGATCCCCCAACCTTCCCCCCCAAAATCAGACTGCTGCAGCCAGTTCCCAGGAGTTGCCCGCTCCTCCTGGGTGACTGCCAACTCCAGGAAGGCTTCCTACTGGTAAAATGAAGCATTGGGTAAATCTCAACTTGGGACTGGAGACATCCGGCCTCCAGAAAGCAGAAAGGAGTGTCAGGTGAGGCTAAATGAAGTACAGGGAACTCAGACATGTCACTGTGACTGGCTGCAGCAAAGGAACATAGGACTTCACATCTGAGCCAGGGCTCCTCTCTTGGGACATTTTCTCAAGAACACAACGGCCTTTGAATTCTCAGCCCTGAGAGTTAGGAAATACTGCTGCTCGCCAAACAGGCTCAGAGAGGTGAGGAGGTAATTCCACCTCTGTCAAACGTATGCTGAGATCTGACCCAGGACTCTCACTGAAGGAGGTCTCAGTAGACCCAGGACCTACTTCGGGACACCCGTCGTCTATCCTGTCACAGTGAGCTGGGAGGGAAGACTGCCATGTAGAACTTGGTTTAGGAACGCTTGCTCCTTCCGGTCCCCAGACTCAATCCCTCCCGTCATCAGTGTCCCTGCAGTTACCCTCCACGTCCTCTAGAGGGAGAAGCCCTGGGCTGACTCAACCAGCAAGCAAGCCCTCTCTTACCTCCGACCTGAATAGATTAACCCGCGTTTTAGCGCCGGATCCAGACCAGGTGGCCCAGGCGGGCTCAAACTTGCAATCCTCCTGCCGCCGCCTCCCCAGTGGCGGGATGTCAGGTCGCTCACTCCAGGCCTGGCTAAAATTAAGCTCCCGGGCTCCGCTTCTCTTGCTTTGTAGACAAGGAAACTGAGGCCCCCAGAAGTTCGCTAAAGATGGTAAGGGGGGAAAAGTGTGGACAAGAGATGTGAGATCCCAGCTGTCCTGGTTGGAAGTGGCTGCTGTGTTGTCTTGAGTGATTATATTTTTTTTAGTTTTGTTGTTGTTTATTTTGCAACAGGTTATCAGGTAACTGAGGCAGGCCTTGAGCTCTTCTAGATCCTTCCGCCCCCCACTTCCCCACTGCTGGGATTAGAGGTATGCACCGCCATACCCTACCCCACTAGTTCTTTGTTTTTTAAATCAATCTCCTCCCAATGCCCGCCCCCACACTGACCTCCAGGCCTGGACCCATTCCCAGCAAGGGACACTCTGTATTCTCTACTCACCTGTGGGTCTGTCCCAGGGACCAGATGGTCTGACGAAGGTGGTGGGGTCAAGTTAGGTCAGCTGGCAAATCTGTCCCTGCTCTGTCCTGCAGTCTGCTCCTGCACAGGAGGTACAGTTTCTCTGGGTTTCTCCCCGGGAGGGGACAATGTGGACAAGCATTGAGGCAGCACCCCCATGACCAGCAGAACTCCAAGGGCCTGTCTAGGGGAGTCAGGCTCACAAGGGAGGCTTGCAGCATCTCGACCATCGTCAACCGAGGTCACCCCCAGAGATGGGGCTGCTGAAACCATTCTCAAAAAGAAGTTATAAGGGCCCCTCCACAATACTTATACAATGTTATGATGTTATAAATGGTACTTTTGGAATGTTTTTACTATTTGTTTGTTTGTTTGAGACAGGGTCTCACCATGTAGCTGGATGGCCTGGACTATTAAGTTTTTATTTAACTGCAGAGAAGCATCACAACTAAAATTAAACATAGATGGACTTCCGTTTAGATCCCCCAACCTCATAAAGTGCCGAATATTCTGGCTACACATGAGACCCTATCTTAAAAGACAACAACAAGGCCGGGCGGTGGTGGCGCACACCTGTAATCCCAGCACTCGGGAGGCAGAGCCAGGCGGATCTCTGTGAGTTCGAGGCCAGCCTGGTCTACAGAGCTAGTCCAGGACAGGCTCCAAAGCTACACAGAGAAACCCTGTCTCGGGGAGAAAAAAAAAAAAGACAACAACAAAAGAATGCTAGATATGGTCCTCACACCTATAATCCAGCCCTGGAGATGAGGAAACAGGAGCATCCCTGCAGCTCACTGGCCTGCTGGTCAGTGTGCTCCAGGTTCAGTGAGAGACAAAATGAGGTGAGGGGCTAGAGGTGACTCGGCAGGAGCTGAGCACGCAGAGTTCCTGCAGAGGAACTGAGAGTTGGCTCTAGCATTCACATGGGGCGTTGTCCCACAACTGCCTGTAACTCCAGTGCCAGGGGACCCGACCACCCCCAAAGGCACAGGCCTCTGAGGGCACTGGGCGTGCATGTGGTACACAAATACATATGCAGACAAACACATAGAAGAGAAATAAATCATATGTGAGGCAAGCCAGCACTACATAGGAGGATCCTGCTTCAAAATACAAACTTAAAAAAAAAAAATGAGGGTACTGCTGTGTATCTGTTGTTGGAATTCCTGGCCACTCCCCCAGCTGCATGGCCGCACATGCGTAGTTCAGTAGCCCAGCAAGGGGCCTTACGTCCTACATAATTTGTGCACAGCGTGACCAGGCAATCTATGCGCAGGCGTGGCATAGCTCTGTAAACCCGTAAGTGCACGAGCAGGAGAATCCATAAGAATCCATAAGAATACAGACCCCTCCCTCTTCTTCTCCACTCCCCGCCCCCAGGCCTGGTCACGTTCTAGTCTGTCCCTCTCTTCTAATAAAACTCTTATAGTGGGTTTTGACGTGCCTCAAGGCCTTTCTCACATGGTAACAGCTCCGCTGAATGAATAACATCCACATTAAAACCAACATCTGTAATCCCAGCACTTGGGGGTAGAGGCAGGAGGATCAGAAGTTCAAGGCCAGCCTCAGCTATACAGTGATTTCTAGGCCAGGCTAAGATGAGACACTGTTTCAAAATAAATTAAAATGAGAGGGAGTGGGAGGGAAAAACACTTTTTAGTACAATAAGTGATACAATTCTTAGAACCAGATTGCCTGAGCTCAAATTTCAACTTCTTAAAGAAATTACTTAACTTCTTGGTTCCTCAAAGTGGGAGTAGGAAGAGCTCTCTCCTACACAGGCTTGTTGTAAGGAGTCACTAAATATACGACTGGAAGCATAGTCCGCTCAGTCCTGGCAGCCAGCCAACACTCAATAAACACCAGCCTGGAATAAATGCAGAATAAATAAAATAATTTTTTTTTTTTTTTTTTTTTTTTTTGGTTTTTCGAAACAGGGTTCTCTGTGTAGCTTTGCGCCTTTCCTGGAACTCACTTGGTAGCCCAGGCTGGCCTCGAACTCACAGAGATCTGCCTGGCTCTGCCTCCCGAGTGCTGGGATTAAAGGCGTGCGCCACCAACGCCCAGCTAAATAAAATAATTTTTAAAAAATCATCCTAACAAGTAGCCGAAGAAGAAAGATGGGTGGCGTTTACTCTCTCCTTTTCTCTGATAGTTCCTCATCAGCTGAAATTTCCCTTGTAGGAAAGAAAAAATCCTTTATTTTCTAATATTTATTTATAAATTTTTGAGATGAGGTATCATGTAACCCAGGCTGGCCTTGAACTCACAATGTTGTTGAGGATGACTTTAGACTCCTGATCTTCCTGTTTCCACAGTGGTATTACCAGTTCCTGCCATAACATGGAGAGAAACAAAAGCAAGAACACCCACCCACCAAACAAACAAACAAAACCCAAAAATCAAAATCGAACCGAGGAAATGCTGTGATTTACATTAACCATTATTTAAAAAATCAGTGAACCGTTATCAGAAGTGTCTCTCAAACAAACTCTCTAGTTTTCTGACTCATAAAAAGTTCATTAACTTTGAAGTAATGTGCAATAGGGCTTAGACGCTTTCAGATAGCTAGACTCAAGAAGCCAGGTGAGGAGCCAGGCTCAGTCAGGTAGGAGCTGAGGGCAGAGCCCAGCCGTCCAGCATGTGCTTTGAGGGCGTAAGACCTGGGCTCTAGAGCTCCGAACAAACAAAACAACCTAACACAAGTGCACAACTGGAGCCCTTAGCCACTGTTGGTGGGAATACAAAATAGTGCCAGTGTGGAAAACGTGGACATTCTTTTTATGACTAAACGTGGACTCAGTCACCATGTGACTGAACAATTTCACCCCCAGGTATATGCCCCAAAGGAATGAAAACCTAGATCCACACTCACTTGCGCAAGATTGCCCAAAGCAGTGTTACTCACAACAGTCAAAACAGAAACCCGTGATGTCCACCAACATGGAAACACGTAGTCTGCGTTTACTGAAAGGACCAGGAGACACCATAACAGTCTGCTCAGTCTTCTTTCAGAGATCAGGCCTCAATTTCAGTTTCCTGAGACTTGAGCAAGCAGTTTCTGGGAGGGCCATGAACAAAAGACATAGTCCTTGCAGTAGCTCCCTTTCTGCACATACTCTGACCGCTCAAGGTTCAGCCAATTGTTTACTGTCTGGGACTCCTCATCAACTTAGAGCTATGCGCATGCGTCAAGGACAGAGCCTGGGCCACTGAGTCAACCCCCACAGTAAGTACGTGCTAGGTCAGCCAGCCTCCACAGCAACTCAGGTCAAGGACAGAGCCTGGAACTTGTCCAGGCCTACTCAAAAATGGATAACTGGGACTGGAGAGATGGCACAGTGGTTAAGAGCACTGGCTGCTATTCCAGAGGACCCAGGTTCAATTCCCAGCACCCACATGGCAGCTCACAGCTGTCTGCAACTCCAGTTCCAGGAGATCTGACACCCTCACACCAATGCACATAAAATAAAATATAAATAAATTATTTTTTAAAAATGGATAACTGTAGCCCCAACTAACCCTAGCCAATTAAAAGTTACTGACACGATTGCCACTCACATAAACCAATCCTGAGTCTGTTACTATGTAGTCTGTAGACCCCAAGACCCCTCACTTTAAAAACCCTGCCCCATTGCTACTCAGGGTCTCTTCTGCTCTGCTGCTGCGTCAGACAGACAAAGAGTCCCGAGTTAACTTGTAATAATAACAAGACTCTTTGCTTGTCACTGTCACCGGTCACCTAACTGTGAGGCTTTAACCCATGAAACATGCACTAGGAGCCTTGCCCATGTCTCACTCCCCGTCCACATGAGCACGTGGTCTCCCTTCCCCGGCCCTGCCCACACTCCTGATGCCAGGGCCCAGAGCACGCTGGTGTTTCTCCCTTCAGTCTAGTCAGCCCTGCCCCCTCCCTCTGCCATGGCCAGGGTCTGGTAAGGACTCTCCAGTGTCCAGCTAGGCAAGAGTCAAACTGCCAAACTCAGAGCCTCCGCTCCACCTAGGAGGTGGGTATCCTCACACCTCTGCCTTCTCTGTCCCAGTGGGCAATGCTCAAGGTCTCTGTCGCCACAGACAGCCACACAGGGACAAAGACAACAGCCAAGGCCTAGGCCTTGTGGCTTCAAGCCTCATGGCTGGCTTCTTCCTGCCTCTAATGATCCTGTCCACTGGCTCACCTCACCTGCTGCCTCTCCAGCTCTCCTTTGGCCCCCAAGGCTGCCACCCCAGTGTACACAGTGTGTACACAGTCTCCTGGGCCTCCTCTCTCCATCTCTGGTCTCCAAGTGGTCATGGGATATCGGCCAAGTGCAGGCTGGACAGATGGAAGAGCCTGTCTGTTTCTCTCTTTTGACTTTTGTTTTTGTTTTGTTTTTCAAGACAGGGTTTCTCTGTGTAGCCCTGGCTGTCCTGGAACTGACCAGGCTGGCCTCGAACTCAGAGATCCGCCTACCTCTGCCTCTTGAGTGCTGGGATTAAAGATATGTGCCACCACCGCCCGGCAGGGATGCTACTTTTGCAGCAGTATCAAGGACTGCAGACTTACAGTTGAGAAAGCAGGACATAGAAGTGTAATGGGCTTTCTTTTGGGCCACCAACCAGCCCCCAAATCATGCCACAGAGATATATTATTAGTTATGAAACTAATGAGCCTTAGCTTAGGCTCATTTCTCTACTTTTTTTTTTTTTTTTTTTGGTTTTTCAAGACAGGGTTTCTCTGTGTAGCTTTGCGCCTTTCCTGGAACTCACTCTGTAGACCAGGCTGGCCTCAAACTCACAGAGATCTGCCTGCCTCTGCCTCCCGAGTGCTGGGATTAAAGGCATGTGTGCCACCACCGCGCAGCAAGGCTCATTTCTTGCTAGTTCTTATACCTTAATTTAACCTGTTTCTCTTCATCTATGTTTTATCTCTGGGCTTTTTACCTTTCTTTCATTCTGTATGTCTTACTTTTTCTGCTTTTTCTGTGTCTGTCTGTCTGTCTGGACCCAGGCATCTCCCTCTCTTTCTCCCTCATTCTCTTCTTCTCCTTCCCCTGAGCCTAGATTCCTCCTCCTACTTATTCTCTCTGCCTTCCAGCCCCACCTATCCCTCTCCTGCCTAGCTATTGGCTGTCCAGCTTTTTATTAGACCAATCAGGTGCCTTAGGCAGGCAAGGTGAAACAGTAACACACCTTTACATAATTAAACAAATGCAGCATAAGCAAATGTAATACATCTTTGCCTAGGTAAGTAACATTCCATAACATAGAAGGCTTCTATTACAACCCCCACTCTGCCCTACCCCACCCCCCAAAGGTAACAGGGTAACCATTGTTACCTAAAAGTAACAGGAAACCATTGAAGAGAACTGTTAAAAATTGTGATAAGGATACTAAAGTGTAGCTCTACACACTGAAGGCTTCTGGGCAGGGGTGAGGGGGTGGGGGGTGGGAGTGGGGGTGCTAGTGGGGAAGGACTCGGTTTTCTTTCTTTTTTTTTTAAGATTTATTTATTTATTATGTATACAGCATGTATGCCTGCAGGTCAGAAGAGGGCACCAGATCTCATTACAGATGGTTGAGAGTCACCATGTGGTTGCTGGGAATTGAACTC